GTATATATACACTTATCGACATCTAAGTTTATACAGTGACTAGTTGATGGACACAGAGAGGTGATTAAGATAATTTGGAAGCCAGTTGATGACTAATGAACACAGAGTAAACAAGCAGAGTAAACAAGCAGACTGATGGAGATGATGGAAGCCACTGGATTAATTGGATGGACAAAGGGATTTAGCAATTAGGTGATGGTAAGCAGGCGGGATGTAATAGCCTTGGTCTCTGTTCATTGTTGGCTGGATCCATTTGATGTAGATGGCTTCTAGGAGTTTCCTGATTTTGTAGTCTGATTGGTTGTTGGCCAGGATCTTGATGTTGTTCCACTGGATGTTGTAATCGGGGTGGGTTTGGGTGTGGTCGGAGTTGGCTGATTTAGAGTCATTTTTTTGTACTGAGGTCTTGTGTTCTTTTATTCTAATGGGTAGGGGCCTGGATGTTTCTCCTACATAGGAGTCGCCACAGTCACATTGTATGTGATATACGGCTCTAACTGGATCTTCTTTCTTAGATGTAGGGGGCTTGCAATTGGCACTGAGGATGTTCTGACAAACGGGGCTGTCTGTTGTCGTGGAGGCCGCTCTCTGGGGCTGAGGATGCTGTTGATTGTTTGTTCAGCTAGGCTGGTAGGGTAATTGTTGAAGTTAGTGAATACATGGCGGAGGTGGTTGAGTTCAGTTTTTAGCTGTTGTGGCGTGGAACAGATGTTGCGGGACGTCGGGCTAAGGTGGCGATAATTCCTGTCTTGATTTGCGGCATTAACTCTTCCACGACAAACATGGAGCTCTGTTCGATGGTTACGACTGATGCCGCCCCACGCCATGACACTCCCCCCGGGGTCAACCTCTGGTGGTTCTTGTCTGCTTGTATCTGCTCAGTAGCCTGAGGACTGTTAAATGATGGCATTGAAACCGTTGTGCAACGACTCTACTTGACGTACCAACTTGAAGCATGCCCAAGGCACGTTCACGTTCCTCTGTTGTTAATCTTTCCATTTCTTGTGTCAGTACCCTTTACGTCTGCAGCAACAAATGATGTGGCTTTTAAAAGTCTGTCTTTTATAGCCCTATTCTGCATGCTTCCCGTGAAACAAAATACGTTTTCCATTTGTTGCGTTTTGGCGATGTCGCTCACAAAAAAATTAGGAATGTGTTTTGACGTGCTGTTCTTCTTCATGCTTCGTACAGAACGTCGTATTTTACTTATATATTTTCATATGACTTAAGCCCGGATAAAAATACATCCATTTTCATGGTGGTACGTTTTCAATGCTGTTGAGTATATTTACGATATTTATGATGTCACCAGAGACACAGCTTGTAACTGTGCAGTTCCACATCTGTTACAACTGCTAGTCTGCCTTCGCGTTTTTTGGCGACAGGCGCTATGCATCTGCTGGTTGGGGACAGCCTAAACATTTCCCGATCTACAGCCGGCAGATGCTTCCGGGCTGTTTCGTTAGAAATCTCTAAACTGTCAGGAAGGTTCATTAAGTTCCCAGTTTGAGGAGACGTTGTACGAGCAAAGGAGGCATCGGCAATATTGCAGGTACGTACGTTGGCTTTTCCCAATGTAAACATAAATACATGATTTCATTAGTGTGATTCGTATCAGTGCCGTTTTGATAATATATACCTGGTCGCATCTTAAATAGCTCAATGTGTGAAGCCCATTAGTTATACGAGACCGCCTCCGTGGTCTAGGGGTGAGGCGTCCGCCCGTAGAGCGGAAGGTCCGGGGTTCGATCCCCGGCCGCGTCATACCAAAAGACGTTAAAAGAAGGATTCTTGTTGTTACCCTGTCTGGCGCTCGGCATTAAGGGGCTAAAACAAGGACTGGTCGGCGCGGAGTCAGTATACTGTGTCTGAGTGGGATATTCATGTTAAACTGCAGCATGGTATCTCAGTGAGCTAGCACTATAAATCGGTATCGGTCCGGACTAGTACAAGCAGCCACACAAACACACACACGTACATGCACGTCGCTATATAAGTGCAATAATCTTGGACGCGACGTTAAACCCCATTTCACCTCACCTCACCCATTAGTTAAACTGATACTCACTCACTCACCTAAATAGCTACATGCACGAATGCCAATAGTACATATATATGACCAGTCAAGAAGTAGTAGCTAGTATCAAAACAACCACAAAACAACTTAGAGTGATAACTTGAAGGTAATCGCTATAGAATAAAGAGGAGATACGGTGATGCACGTTGCTATGGGTATGTTATTCACGGCAGAATTGTTACTGAGTACATATATCCTCTAGGACTACAACAATAACTAGTATTTAGATCCATAATCAAGTAACTTCAAAACGTTCCAAAAGTTTCTTTCCAAGTGATAATACCTTTTTCGCGAACACCTGGCCCCGGGATCATGAAAGTGGTCTTAGCTCAAATTTTTCTAAGCACGAATTTTGTCTTAAGTTTTTAAGATTTTGCTTAGCTAAGAATCGGTCTAAGACTGGATCTTGAAACGGTCTCAGCAAAATCTTAGCTAAGTCAAAGTCTAAGATCGTCGTCATAGGGACACGCGCACGTAATATCGCACTACGGTAATCATTGGATGCCGAGGTTATTTTTCTGACGCACATTTTCCTAAGATCGGAAGAGAGAGGTGTCTATTATAAGATAATAAGATGTGTTATGGGGCCTTTACACAGGATGGCGACCTTTGTGCCTCCCGTGTGCGACCATAAAATTTACCAGGTGGTCGTTGGAGGCTCAATTGAGGCAGAATGGTTGCCTAGGTTGTTCCAAGGTGGAGCACAGGCGGTTCAGAAATCGCCATGGACGCCAATAATGTTTGAACATGTTGCATTGTATTTTATTGGTGAACGATGATTGTGGCTGTGTTACATTGTTTCTGTTGAGATTCGAAAGACGCTCATTCATTTTATTTGGTCAGTGATTAGTCGCCAGGAATGTAGTGCTATTAAATGTATGTTTAATAGATAAGAATGCAAATTAAGTACTCCACTTATTTTTATTTGAACACATACCTTTAAAGATTACACTGACCCAAAAATAGACAACAATCATTTATTCTGATAGAGAACATTCATTTAAACAAAGAGAAGTTGAAGAAGGACCCTAACCTTAAAGTGTAAAATGGAACGTGATTGGGCTTGACACTTCAGTCATATGCCTCAGTCATACGCTATAGAATAAGGAAGAGATACTGTTTTGCAGGTTGATATGGGTATGTTATCCACGGCAGAGTTGTTACTGAATACATACAGCGTCTAGAAGGCCCACAACAATAACTGGTCTTTAGATCCATAATCAAGTAACTTCAGAACGTTCCAAATGCTACCTTTTTCGCGAACACCTGGTGTCATCACGGATTTTCAGTGATCCATTCTTGTCACAGCTAGTTTGCCTTTCACGTCCTCATTATCTGTTTCGTTGGATAAACAAGACTTGTTTCTCTGTCATTGACGTTTTATATTATATATATGCATGCAGATTTCAACTCAATTAAAAGACATTTGACGGACATACGATTGAGCCCTCACATCCTGTGGATGTCACAGGGACATTTGTTTCCCTCCTCTTCATCCTATGTTGACAAGTTCGGAGTGTGCGGAGATTACAAAGTGTAGTCTGGGGTTACAAAGTGCAACAGAGGCAACTGTGGGTCCTGTCAACAACGGATGGAGGGTAGCCAATAGGATTTAGAAACAATGGTATTTTCTATATCTACTAAAATGTTCTGCCAAAAATGTCATATATGTAATTCCATGAATAGGGTGCAAAGAAACATACATTGGAGTGAGTGAGTGAGTTGGGCTTATCGCCGCTTTTAACAGTATTCCAGTTATATCACGGCGTGTCAGCTTAATATGGGAGGAAAGCCCGAAGTGATGCAGGTCTCAGACGTTTACCATTTCGGCGAAACCCACGGGCTCGGGTATGGTGCTGACAAACTTAGAAACATAATCGGGTCGAACCGGGATTCGAACCCACAATCATAGGTTTCTGGCGTGCCCAAGGGACGCAACTCTGCACAGCGAATTGCGGCGCCTTAGACAACTGGGCCACCCGTGCCCCTCCATCAGATCAGACAGATTAGTTGATATGTAGACAAAGAATCTTTCAAGTGCATGCATCTGCCACTTCAGGAATAAATTATTCCAACAGTCTCTTGCATGATATTCAGCAAAGTCATATGAACAAGCTAAAGAGAGCAAATTACAGCCGCCAGGCTCATCACACGATGTCGAATGCTTGAAAAAATAAACACAGCTCCTAAAAACTGCATTGGCTAACACTGAGACTGAGAATCATGTTCAAGCTGTTCTTTGTCTACAAATCAGTCTATAGTCTAGCTCCTGTTTACCAACACGAACTTACAGGGTTTCACGAACCTGAACGGGCATTGTGATCTGCATGCAACAACCGATGGCGGTGCTACAAGCCAGGACAACGTATGGAACAACGTATGGAAACAGAATCTTTTGCCGAGTTGGCGCTGTGGACCCTATTTTAATTAATCAAATACTACTCATGAAATAATTTCAGGACAATAGAGAAACAGTCTGTCCAAATTGGTGTAAGGGCTATAAAGAATAGTAGTTTCATGTCTGGTTTGTATATGAAAGGCATAAACCCTTTACGAAAGTATATTTTTGACATGTAATAAATCAGTATCAGCATCAAGTATCTTCCAAAATTATCAATTATAGTTGTAATTGTAACAAATTGTAGTACACCAAATCCAGTGTTTGTGTTCGTAAGTGTTTTTTGGATTATCATCCAATATAGTCACTATATATTACTACCCCAAGTAAGTACAAGTCAAGTTATTAATACAACGATGGTTACTTAATCGAGGGTTCCCTTTTCCGGATTTAATTGCTATGCAAACAATGAAAACAACAGAACTCTAAATCTTTTTCAGTGTTCATCCAAAATGACAATTTTAGTGAAAATGTGTCACAGTTACCTGTTCCCTTTGATTAATATTGTGCACACATTCCCATTGTTCAGTTTGGGCGTGAGATGTCTGTCGGACTGTTGCCAAGGTTGCCACTTCCTGTTACGGTGCTCTTTGCAGACTTACCGGTAGTTGCACATGGGATGAACACTTGAATGAAGGTTTCCCGGAAGGATGCACTGAGGGCAATGTAGAAGAAGAAGTTGGTGATGTTACTGAGGAGTTCACAAAAAATACCAACTCTTGCCACGAGTAAGAAAAGGAAGTGCTGTTTGACATTTATGCCGTAGTCATCGTTGAAGTTACTGATGAAGGCATTGGTGTTGGCAGGCAGGGCGAGAATAACAACGACAACGGTTGACACCATGATGGTTATTGTCGTCTGCATCTCTTTCGTCTGCGCATCTCCCGTGCTCTGACTGGTCTTCATGGATTGTCTCTCTTTGCTGTGACGTCGGAGTGATATTACAATCAGGAGGTTGAAGACAAGGCATCCGAAAAGCATGAAATATACAAATATGAATTGGCTAGCCAAGCTGCAATTCGCAAAATGAACTTTATCCTTGACATACATTAACGAAGAGTCTAACCTGTAAGCTGTAGTGTTGTCGGAAGTGGAATAAGATATGACAATATATTTCATTGGGCTGAAAATATGTCCGACGAAACTTGCCGCCATTATTAGTGCGCAGACGACACCTGGGTTTTTCACGAGACGCATACTTTTGGCTTGTAGAGGAAACGTCACAGCAATGAATCTCTCAGCTGACACCAAGCAGTTGTAACAAAATCCAACTCTCCTGAGAGCCACAGTTGCGTAGAGGTTGACGTAGAGGCCGTAGATGAGGTAGAAGCGTATACTGACGACTTCTCCGCGGTATATAAATTTCATTGTACTGGCGAAGATGATGGTGGTGAGGTGGAGGACCTCGGAAATGCAGAGAGCCAGCAGGATAGTACTTGTAGGGCTTTTCATCCGTTTCTGACTGAACACGACGACGTTGCAGAGGTTGATGGCAAGGGCGATGACATTGAGGGGAAACTGAATAATCTGTAGCACAGTGTTGAAGGAGTTGTAAGTAGTTTCAGTCACACTGCCAGAATGGATCAAAGCGAATGGGGAGGCTGAGTTGGATTGCATTACTTCCTTGTTCGCAGTATTGTTACCGGTGTCGTTCATACTTTTGTTGTTGGCGATGCTGTCACTGACATCCATGTCGGTCGCATTATATATTGTAGCAGTTGTCATATCCGTTCTAGCACGCGCTGATGTTGGAATCATGGTCGACTCCTTTTGCGTTAACGATGATCCGTCTTCAACCGTGGAGTCATCTGTGATGTCGCGCAATGTTGATGTCACGGTTGACTTCTTTGGCGTTGGCGACGATGTTTCTACAACTACGGACACAGACGCAACTGTGCCATCATGCAATGTTGATGCTGAGGCCAATTTCTGTTTCGTTGACGTCAATGTGTTTACAACCAACATGGCACACAACCATTTCAGCTCCATTTTCATAAAATAAAAAATTCCTTTCTTCAAATATAAGTCGTACTTCGCACCTCTTTTTTCGGTGAGTGTTGACAGTAGTACTATCCAATCTGACCACCAAATCCCTATTTGTACGAATCAGTCCAAAGAGAAAGTATATATTCGGACAGCATTAACATATAACGGAATTCTTAGCCAATCACTGTTCGCAGTTGTGATTTCTCTAATAAGACAACGGCAGATATCAATAACAATCATGTGACTATTACCATTCATTATGATTGATTCATTACTGGCATTGTTATGTGTGCGACGTAGGATCCCTGAAGAATATAGGAATATCGATATGGATGGCATTCCTGTGTACTTACGGAAAAAAGGTGACTTTACCCGCTCATTATGATTGATCCACTATTGTCATTATTGTGATATCAGGACTCTACATATAACTGTAGATCAATAGAAACGGTATTCGTGTGTGTTTGAACTAGTCAACATCAACGTTTGGTCAAACTTGAAAAGTTAATATCCGAGCAAATATGTTATTCTTGTTATCGTAACGTTATGCTAACATATCCAATGGTGTATTGATTGTTAAGGTAAGGAAGCAACAACTTGTTAAGGAATATTCAGTGTATGGTCCATGTTTAAAACACATCGATCACATGAACCTGCTGGATTGAATAACAAACAATCCCTTGCTTCTTTTGAAGCGACCACAGTACACAATCGAGTATTTTACAAAACAAGGTAGTCAAAATGAAATCGTGCAGCTTAAACTGTTCAAAGTGTCTGATATAAATTCAGCATTATGTGCTCCACTAAGATGGGATGTGTTTGACATTTTAATGACTGTGTGGAGTCCTTACCAGCGACGAATCAACCCCAACATCATCCAACATCACTCTTCCAACTTTTTCAGTTTGTAGACAGTAATAAGCAGTGTCTTGAGTGTACAGAGTACTGCAAACAGCTTCAGGAGCAGAGCCATTAGTGATGTCATTTGATTGTGACGTCATGGTAACAAGTGACGTCACAATGGTCTGCAAAGCACTGTGATGCAATTTCATTGCAGCGATATCTCCTGCGGGAGCCAGCTTTGGATGGTAAAAATGTCATCTGTCATCTGTAGTTCCTTCCATTTCGATTATGTGACGGAACGTATTTATCAACAGTAACATCATGACAACCGGCTGTGTGAAACAATACGTGGAATGGGCATCCTTAAGCTCATTAAGAACAATATGTGTTGAGGTTGATAATTGTCAATGATTACCGTTAATTACGAGCTTCACTCACGCCAGTGGCATAGAAATAGACATAGTTTAGTTTCATTTGCATAAATAACCACTCACGGTGGGACATAGAAATAAATGCAAGAAAGGCATTTGATTAACAGAGGACACTGACATGAGTACGAGTATGAGAGTATACATTAGAATGTTTTAAGTATACATGAGACTAATCTGCAGAGGTTCCTTAACACTGAGACTTTAGTGAGTGAGTGAGTGAGTGAGTATGGTTTTACGCCGCTTTTAGCAATATTCCAGCAATATCACGGCGGGGGACACCAGAAATGGGCTTCACACATTGTACCCATGTCGGGAATCGAACCTTTGGTCTGCGGCGTGACGAGCGAATGCTTTAACCACTAGGCTACCCGACCGCCCCTATTTCTTTAAAAAAACAAAACAATGATTAAATGAGCACTTATTTGACTAAAAAAATCCTTGTTTGATGTAATGTTGAAATACTTATCCCTACTGATGGAAAATCAATGCAGTCAAGCAGGACATGCTTGACCGTGATACTTTCATCACAAGGGATGCAGAATGGAGGATCCTCACCTTTTAATAACTATTCGTGGGTATATCTGCTGTGGCCAATATGACATCGTCGCATAATGACCTCTTAAAATCTGGACTGACAGTTCAAGTAGGTGTAACCGATAGTTGGTTTAATTTCATGTAATTTATTGATACCTACTTGGGTGTCCCACTTCTTTTGCATGAGATCCCTGATGTAACATCTAATAACAGGCTTATAATCACTGTGTGGGATAAGAAGTGGTGATTTGTTGAGCGCTGCTTTTGCAACATGGCTGGGTAACCAACAGCAAACGATTTCGTATTGGCCAGTAGCAAGATCATTAAACAATTCAATAATTTTGATTAAAATCGGATGCGTACAAGATAGATTTTAATAGCTTGAAGGCAAGAGAGTGAGTCTGAAAATATAATAAATTGTTTTTGTTTTGATTGGTTATTGATGTATTCTAGTGCTGTGAATATGGCCTTTGTCTTCGGCCGTAACAATGGAACAGCTTTCTGATATTCGGTGTAATATAGTCCTGGGTCCAATGACAGTGGTGCTGGCAACAGAGTCACCATCCTTGGATCCATCTGTAAATATAGACTTGTAGATATTGTATGAGGATCGTAATTGATTATATTCTTGCAGATAAATTAGTTGATTTGTTTCAGATTTTTTAAAATTAGTGAGTGAAAGGTCTACTTCAGGCCTTACTAGTTGCCAAGGAGGAGTAGACAAAAGACGGCATGGAGATATTAAATCTAAGTCAATATTAACATCTGCAATGTGAGACTTGATCCAAATCCCAAGTGGCGGTACAATTTTTTGCTTGTTGTGAAACAGTTCCTCATTGAGAGGATGAAAGACGCAGTTATAAGCTGGATTTGATGGGTTTGTACGTAATTTAGTTATATACTGAAGGGATAATTTTAAGCGGCGTTGTGCAAGTGAAGGCTCATCGGCCTCCACATACAAACTATCTACAGGAGAGGTTCTAAATGTTCCAAGACAAAGCCGCAGTCCTTGATGATGTATGCTATCTAATTTCTCTAAATTCCTTTTAGCAGCTCCACCATATACAATTGAACCATAATCTAGTTTAGATTTAATAAGTAATCTATACAGGTGAAGTAAGGTTGTCTGATCTCCACCCCACTTAGTATTTGCAACAACTTTTAGTAGATCAAGAGACTTCAAGCATTTAGTTTTAAGATATTTTATATGAGGTAAAAACCTCAAGTGGCAATCAAAAATAAGACCCAAGAACTTGGTCTCGTCAACAAACTTGATGGGGGTACCGTTTAACAACAGTTCCGGATCTTTATTGGGTCTATAATTTCTACAAAAATGGAAACAATTTGTCTTCGCTTTAGAAAATCTAAAACCATCTTCAAGCGACCACTTTTGGATTTTATTTAGGCAAAACTGCAGTTGCCTTTGTATTGTGTGCATGTTTTTGCCACAAGATATGTTGAAGTCATCTACAAAGAGAGACCCATCACTTGGAAGTTCGTATTGGTAAACTGGAGCTACACAAAGGACTGATTTGTAGACAAAGAAAGCTTGAACACGATTCTCAGTCTCACTGTCAGCCAATGCAGTTTTTTAGGACCTGTGTTTATGTGCTCACGCATTCGACATCGAGTCATGAGCCTGGCAGCTGTATCTGCTCACTCTTTAGCTTGTCCAGATGATTTTGTGGAATGTCACGCAAGAGACTATTGCAATATCTAATCATGAAGTGACAAATGCATGGACTATGCACTTGAAATAGTCTTTGTCCAGATATCATCTGAACTGTCTGACATTTCTTATCTGATGGTATGCATTTTTTCAGATGATATTCACATGGTTTCTCAAACTAACTGTTGAATCAATGATCACGCCTAGATTTCTTGCGCCCTTGCTTGTTGAACAATACTGTCCCTAAATCGTATGTTTTGAAGTTGAAGCTTGGGTTGCCTTACTTAGTTGTGATCAAAATTTCTGTTTTCTCATCATTCAATTTGAGAAAGTTTGTCGTCAACTTTTGATGTCAACCATGCAGGCTGTGATTCTCTGAAATGCCTCGCTAACCGATGATGGCGACAATGGTTTGAATCCTAGATAGTGCATTACATTTTGCATACGTAGCATAGCTGTTTCTGTGCTGCGACCAGTCTTGTAATTGCAGGACGTCCCCGAGACGTTTGATGTGCATGTGCTTTTCCAGTGTGGCTGCCGTTACTCGCTCAATAAACTTGAAAAGGAAGGGTTGGTTTTCGATCCAGCGATAGCATTTTCAGTAGAGGCAATATCATCGTTTCGTTCAGCGCATGATTAATCTCGTTTAGAGGATAGGGTGTGTAAATTTCACATTACAAATATGGTTGGTTTTGAGGTAAAATTAAATATAAAAAGTCGTAAAAGGTCACGTTAAGGTTTTCAAGATAGTTCTGAGTATTTTATTTGCTGATTTTGTACTCGGATTCGAGATCGCAAATATTCCTTTTATCCCATATATTTTTCTTTGCATCCCATTCAAGTAATTACATATATGACATTTCTGGCAGAACAGTTACTATCAGTTGTTTCTGTTACACTTTGTAACCTCAGTCAACTCATTTTGAGCACTTGTGACGGGTGCCACTGGTGGGGCAGGATACGCTCATCTTTTCGCGAACACCTGGTGTCATTACTCTTTCAAAGTGATTCATAAACGCATGCATATGGTATAGTCGGAATTGTAAAATCGACTCTGATTTTTGCAGAGATTTCTTTTGGATATAAAAAGGGTTCTGTCGCTTTATTTATATCAATGCGGGCTTTGGTTAAGATGTTCTTGAACTCTGGGACATGTCAACATAGGATGAAGAGAGGGGGAACAAATGCCCCTGTGACATCCACGGGATGAAAAGGCTCAGTCGCATGTCAAATGTGAAATGTCAAATGTCTTTTTAGTTGAGTTGAATTGTGCATGCATATCTATAAAACGTCAACGACAGAGTGACAAGTCTTGTTTTTCCAAAGAAACAGATTATGAGGACGTAAAAGGCAAACTAGCTGTGACAAGAATGGATCACCGAAATTCCGTGATGACACCAGGTGTTCGCGAAAAAGGTAGCATTTGGAACGTTCTAAAGTTACTTGATTATGGATCTAAAGACCAGTTATTGTTGTGGGCCTTCTAGACGCTATATGTATTCAGTAACAACTCTGCCGTGGATAAC